AGCTCTGCCTCTCTGCCCACTTCTCCTCTCGCAACCTCTCCCCCCCCGCTCCTGTTCCTTCCCCCCCCCATTCTCCCCGTCACCCCCCAGCTCTGCCTCTCTGCCCACTTCTCCTCTGCAACCTCCTTCCCCCCCGCCTCCTGTTCCTTCCCCCCCGCCATTGTCCCCGTCACCCCCCCAGCTCTGCCTCTCTGCCCACTTCTCCTCTGCAACCTCCTTCCCCCGCCCCGTCTGCTGCCCCACTGCTCCCGCCCCACACGGCCCTGACTCATCAGAAACCCAAACTCCTCTTGGCACGCGGGTTTCCTGCACCCAAGCCAGGGCTCACCTGCCCGGCCGCTTTCCTCAGGCCCCGCCCCCCTCTCCCCAATTCCAGCAAACCCCCATTTCCTGACGGAAACACATTTCAGTGAGGAATTTCAACTAGCTCAAGGCTGAGCCTCCTGGTCACTTCTCCAGCACCCCCAATCGATCCCTCCCTTCTTCCCCCACCTCCAGCTGGGGCAGAATCTCCCTAATCCCCTGCCCCTGCCCCAACCGTGCTGCAAGGAGCCAGACACCTCCCTGCGCTCACCGTCCCCAGCACATCCAGGCAGCGGCTCGCAAGATGCTCTGGGCATTTCAGCCCGTTCCACGTTTCTCTCCCCCCGGCCAGAGCCAGTACCGGAGCCAACTGTCCTCTGTGACTCAGTGACCTGTGTGAATGAAACCTGTAACTACAACCTGAGCTGCAGGGTCAGGGATGGAGGGGAGCATGTGACCTACAGCTGGACTCACACAGCAGGGGGCGCTGTTGTACCCAATGAGTCCATTCATCACATCTCTCAGAGCCCCCGTGATGCTCACCTGGCCGTCACCTGCACAGCCCAGAACCCCGCCAGTAACAGCTCCACAACGGCCTCTGCAAAGGACCTTTGTGCAGGTAACTCCCTCTGCAGGATCGCGCTGCCCAGTGCTCACAGGGGGGAGCTGGCATCGGGTCGCTGCCTTTGCACCAGTCCCAGGCCTTTCATCCCAAACGGAACCTGGCCCCCCTGCAGCCCCAGAAGCCACCTGGCTGCAGATTTTAGCCTGTAAACCTGCCAGGCAGGGAGCGGTTTGCTCTGGATTTGTCTGTGTCACCAGAGCAGCGTCGCAGGGTCAATGGGCAACAGCCTGGGCCCAAGGAGAGCCATGCGCAGGCTGAGATACTGGGGGCGGGAACACCGAGAAGTTTAGTTATTAAACACGCCTGATCTCAAACACTGATTCACTTAAGGGGCCGCATCAGACCCCCCATCCCATCCCCCGGCTCTGAGAAGACTCCTACCTGGGAGGTAGCGGGGTAGGGGCAGGAACGTCAGCACAGGCTGCCCCGGGGAGGGGTCACAGCCCCGTCCTGCACAGGTGTGATGAGCTGCTTATGGGTGGGGGGTGTAGGGAGGAGCCGGCGGAGCGAGGGGCTCAGAGGTGGGGGGCCGAAGGGGCTGGTTTTGGGCGCACCAGAGCCCTCTGGGCCCCGCTCTGGGGACGGGGGGGCTCCTGTGCCTGGGGGCCGGATGTGGCTTCTG